GTTTGAGTGGTTGATCATCAGTGTGATTTCCAATTGTGATCTTCGCAGGTTCTTCCTTGTGATTGCTTGTTGGGAGTTGTGTCAGAGAGTGAGAAGCACTGAGTGTCTTCTCCCTATCTGTGCATGATTGTCTTCCGCTGCTTATTTTCACCTGTGTGCAGTTTGGACTCTATCTCCTCTCTCCCCTTCTCTTATGCATGTATGGGCATGCATGAGATTGTCTGTGTGTGAGTGGCGAAAAAATTCGTCAGACAAGCAAGTTCATAACAGTTGGTATCGGAGCGAGATTGGATTTGGAGCACTGAGGGTTGAGCGCACTGAGGCATCTTCTTCATCTGGCGATCGACTGGCGAGAGTCTCATGGCGATTCATCTTCCCCAGTACTGAGTCCGCAAAGAAGAAGACTTTCAGCGGTGGATTCAAGTGTTCTGTGGTTGGACTGAGCAAGCGCACTGAGCCTGTCAGGGCGCTTGTCAGGAAGTGGCGAGTACAGGGTTAATTCGCCATAGCCAACTGTGAGGGTGATACTGCGAATTACCCCAGAGTGTCGAATTACCCCTGAGGACATCAGGGAACCCTGAGCGGCATCATCCCCGGGTAGCGCTGATAGAGATTGACAGTCTTTGTCAATCTCCTGAAAAAATAACCCCATTTGAGGCTATTTTTAGCTACCAGGTACAGTGGCGAGATATTTTGGTGTTGGCACATTGGGCGCCACAGGACCAGATACAGAGTATCTGGAGTGAAGGGGTGCAGCGCTACAGGATCCTGAGGAGGATCAACGAATTTGAAGGTGTTCTGTGCGTGGAAGTGTCAGGAGCAATATCTGGGGAAAATTGGCGATATAAGGGTATCATCAGCCATAGCCAGATCTTCATCATCGCCTGCAAGATTCCCAGAAAGTGAGTTCGTTCCATGCACCTACCTGTATTGCGATCCATATAGTCTTAGTTTAGTGAATTGTAATGGTCTATTTGTTTGTCAGTGACTGGATGTGAAAATCGCAGACTGCAAGACAGCCATAGCCATCTCTCCCCTACATCTCTTTGCTCATTTCTCATCATTTGCTGACTCTTTCTGGTCCAAATTGGTTCTGTGATTGCTGTACTGCATTGCGATTGATCTGGGATGCTCAAACAATGAATTTTGTACTAGAAAGGTAGTGATACTGTGAATTGTTGTTTTGCGCTGAGTCTATTTTTAGCCTGTGCTACCTAGGGTCAGTCGTAACTTCAATTCTGTCCGTCAGAATTCAGTTCTGTCAGTCCCCAGTGAATTGCAATCCAAAAATAGAGTATACTGTAGAATCACAGAGTTGGATTTGCAGTATTCACTGGATACAATGAAAACTGTAATTCGCCATACCCCAGGGTATGATCGCCAGAGTCAGCAAAGTCTAAAATTGAGTCTAAGTCAGGATACAGGGTATTTGTCTGCATCGCTTGTTGTGATTGATCTCTCTTTGCCTGTACTAACCATTTTCGGTCATTCTCACTGATGGCACTTGCTTTCTAGTGGGCACTGGAATTCTAGTGGGTCTCTGGAAAAGTAGTGGAGTGTGTTTACTAACTCCAGTATGGTCCAGGGTCAGCAAAAGGAAATCGTGTGGCTGATTTTGCTGGACTTACAGTCTATCTGACACCTGACCCCAGAGACACCCTTCTAACCCAACCCGCTGATTGCCTATTCACACTACTCCCCTGTCTGAGTGTTGCAGCGATTCCAGTGTGTTTGCAGGAATTTGTTTATCGCTGCAGCTCAGGTTGCTATATATTTTATTTTGGTCTTTGTTTTGAACTGGGAAAATGTTTGAGCAAGGGACAGAGCAACAGGCACAGGCGGAGGTGGTGATGAAGGTAGAAGGCGAACGGCCTTTAGCCTCCACTCCCCCTCCTCCACCTCGGACTGCTACTCAGCGGTTGAAGAGGGAACTAGAAGAACAATTGCGGCAGCAAGAGGCCAGACTGGCAGAAGTGGCACAGCAGGAGGCTGCTGAACTAAAGGCTGCAACAAATCATTCCAGGAGAGAATATCTGTTGCAGCAGCTAGAAGGGTCGCTCACTGATGATCGTTGCTCCCAGATCACCAAGCACATGGCAGAGATGATCCTGTTGGAGCACAAGATGACCAGCTCCCAGTTTACAAACTGGGATGATCGTTTTGTGCGGCTGGAGCGTCGGGTTGACGAGCTGTCAGCTCAGCAGACCAAGATCCTGAAGTCTATTCAGGGCTTGACTGCTCAGCTGGCAGCCGCCAAGCTGATCATCAGCCCCCTCTGCTGCAGCCCAAAGCTTCTCCTCACTCTTCACTCCCTTCCTCACCACCTGCATCCCATGCTGGTTCTGTGCATTCTTCCCGGTCATCTACCCCTTCCCAAAAGGCCTCAGGAAAGGTCACCTACGCTGCTGTGACTGCAGGAGACAGAGGTCCCAAGATCCTTGCTCCCAACAAGTTCAGGGGCGATGACCCCAAGACCAATGTTGGGGACTGGGCTGCTGGGACCAGAGCCTACTTGAGGGGCTTTGTCTGTGCAGAACAGACCAAGGTGGCAACTGTTCTGGGACTGCTGGAAGGGCCTGCACTGAAGTGGGCCACTTTAACTTCCAGCAGCCTGCAGCAGTCCATGGAGGACTGGGCCTTTGGTCTGGGGGTAGACAGACTTCTGCAGGCCCTGGAGGACCGGTTTGCAGACAAGGAGCGGGCCCGCAAGGCTGCTGACAGGATTGCTCGCCCGGGACAGCAGCGGTAGAGCGGCACCTTGCAGGCCTTGTTTGCTGAGTTTGAGCAACTCACCTCCACCCCTGGGTTGGTCATGAGCCCTGATGATTTGTTGACCAACTTCTGTAGGGCAGCGCCTGAGAAGTTTGTTGTTGCTCTTTACAGCGCTGGGCACAAGGACTGGAGGTCCTTTGGTCGTGCAGCCCTGGAAATGGAGGCCAAGCTCCATGTCCAGGCCCCATCCTCTGACAGGAGGAAAGGTGCCTTCCCTCGAGGTGGTAGAAAGGGAAAGGCAGCCTTCGCGCATGCAGGGTCTGCCTCAGGATCAGACTTAGATTCCCAGGCTGATACACCTTCAGCTGGGACTAGATCTGCTGCTAAGACAGATGCTGCAGCAGCCGTGACTCAGGCTGCAGCTGCAGAAAAAGTTTTCTCCCACCACAGCCTCAGCCAGTGCCAAGGGGAAGGAAAAGGGACGTCGGCCTTCCATTTCCCAGCGCCCTAATCTGCCCCAAGACGTCCGCATGCCAGCTGAACCTCTCAATCCCTCCACACTCACCTGGCATGACCTCAAGATCCAGGAGGGAGTTTGGAGGAGAAGAAAGGAGAGAGGGGTTTGCCTGAGGTGTGAGGGACAACACTTCTTAAAGGACTGCCCTTATATGCCAGGTCCAGGTCAGTCAAAAAATTGAAACAGACGCTAGGGACTGCAGTTCCCCCCAGTGTTGCACCTTCATCTACTCAGGTAGGCGATTCTGCAGCTGTTTCAGTTGAGACTGCATGTGCTAATGTTTGTTTGGGGACTGCGCGGGCAGCATAGTTTTGTTATGAGTATCCTGACCCGGATCAGGACCCGGGGCCGGATGAGCTGCAGTCTCTTGCAGCCTTCTTCTTTCATCTGAAGGAACAGAAGAAGAGCAAGACTAACCTCATCATGCTTCGGCCACTGTTCAACAGCACCAGGATCACTGGGCTGTTGGACTGTGGGGCCACCAGAAACTTCATGTCTCCCAGTGCAGTTAAAAAGCTGCACCTGGGCATGAAAGTTCAGCAGCTGCAGCAACCGCTGCTGGTGCGGATTGGTGACTCTTCAATGCTCAGCATCAGGGAGAAGGTCAAGGGTATTCCTGTGACCTTCGATACTGTAGGAAAAGTCAGACACAGTCTGAACTTTTACATCTTCCCTGAGCTCCCCTTTGATTTGGTGTTTTCCGTGCAGTGGTTGAGGGCAGTCAACCCTAGGATCGACTGGCAGATCCCTAGAGTTGAGCTACCAGACAGCCAGGGTGTATATCAGCCATGCATGATTGCTGCTGATCACCACCCTAAGACTTCCTGCTATTGCCTGAGAGCGAGGCCTGTCCTCCTGAGATACAGCATGTGGTGGATCAGTATGCTGATCTGATGCAGGAGCCCTTTCGGTTACCCAACCGGCCAACCAAGCATCACATCGAGCTGCTGCTTGGAGCGGTCCCTCCCAAGGGCCGCATCTACAGGATGTCCCCTGCTGAGCTTGAGGAGCTCAGAAAGCAGCTTGAGACCCTGACCAGCAAAGGCTAGATCAGACCCATCACATCTGAATTTGGTGCACCTGTTCTCTTTGTACCCAAAGGGAATGACGAGTTCAGGATGTGCATTGATTATAGGGGTCTCAATAAGATCACTAGGAAGAGTACTGAGCCACTTCCTAGGATATATGACCCATTGGACATGGTGCAGGGCTGCACAGTGTTCAGCAAAGTCGACCTCAAATCTGGCTATCACCAGATGGCAGAGGAGGATGTCCACAAGAGTTCCTGGTCATGCCATTTGGACTTTGCAATGCACCAGGCACTAGGCACCTTCCAAACAGAGATGCACCGCATGTTCAGGCCTCCCCTCGTCAAGTTTATGGTTGTCTACCTGGATGATATCCTGGTATTCAGCAAATCTGCCAGGGAACATGCGGAGCACTTGGCTCTTGTCCTTCAGTCGTTACGTGACAGCTAGTATAAGATCAACAGAGAGAAGTCCTCCTTTGGAGTTCCCACTGTTATCTACCTGGGTCATGTAATCTGTGGAGATGGTCTGGTTCCTGAAGCAGCCAAGATTGCTGCTATTCAGGAGTGGCCTCAGCCTCAGACAGTGAGGGATGTTCGGTCCTTCATGGGTTTGGCCTCCAACTACAGAAAGTTTGTCAGGAACTTTTCTGCAGTGGCTGCACCCCTGACTAACCTAACAAAGAAGGACACTCTCTTTCTTTGGTCCCTCCACTGTCAGTTGGCCTTCACACGACTCAAGAAGGCATTGACTCGTGCGCCTGTTCCGAAGTTACCTGACCCCACTTTGCCATTCATCGTGACCACTGACGCCAGTCAGTATGGCATTGGGGCAGTTCTTCAGCAAGATGATGGGAATGGTCTACGGCCTGTAGAGTTCATGAGTAAGAAGATCAAGACCTAAAAGCTCCAGGACTCTACCTACGAGAAGGAGCTGTATGCTCTTGTCTGTGCCCTGAAACATTGGAAGCACTTTCTCCTGGGCAGGCACTTCAAGATCTTCTCAGATCACTCCTCCTTGCAGTGGATGAAGTCGCAGGGAGAGTTGAACGATAAGCTGGCACGGTACATTCAGTTCATCAATATGTTCGACTTTGAACTGAAACATAAGAAGGGCTGCTACAATAAGGTAGCAGATGCCCTCTCTCGTAGGCCTGACTCTTTTGCTTTGATCTCCTCTACTCACTCCTTTGAAGAGGAGAACCATCAGACCATTGCTCGTCTACTGCCTCAGGACGAGACTTTCGGACCCATTGTCAGGAATCTGCAAGCAGATCCTAACTCTGAACAAGGCTATGCTGTGAGTTCAGACCTGCTGTACACTTGCAGCAGAGGTGAGGAGCGCTTGTGCATTCCCCAGGACCAGCGGCTCAGGACACTGTTGCTGTTAGAGTGTCATGATGCCCGTGGACACTTCGGGTTCCTAAAGTCTTATGCAGCCCTGTCGCAGCACTTCTTCTGGAAGGAGATGCGGAGTGAGATGCTGCGTTATGTGAACACGTGTGAGCTCTGCCAAAGGAATAAGGTCCAACGTAAACCTCCTTTGGGACTGTTCAAACCCTTACCCATACCTAATGGTCCTGCTGAATCTGTGTCGATAGACTTCACAGATCTAGGCAAGACCACCCCTACGCAGAGTTCATCCCCTTGCCAGAGGTAGCTAGGGTACCGGCTGTGAGAGCAGCCTTTTTTGAGAAGTGGGTCACACACCATGGACCGCTCACTTCTATTGTTAGTGATCGAGACCCCAGATTCTGCAGCGATGAGTGGCAGTCCTACTGTAAGGACTATCTGCACTCTCGACTGGACATGACTTTTGGTCATCATCCTAAAGCCAATGGGTTGGCTGAAGTGATGAACCAAGTCTTATTCCAGCTGCTGCGTCCTGTCATCTCTCCAGATCAACAAGACTGGGATCTTCACTTGGCGAGGGCACAACTCATGTATAACATGTCTGTCCACTCCTCAACAGGGTTCAGTCCCTACCGGTTACACTGGGGACGTGAACCACAGCAGCCTCTCGATGACATCATCGATAAGGCTAAGCCTGATCTGACACCAGGCACAACAGAGTTCACCAAACATTATCGTCTAGATGTGGAAAGAGCCCGYGCGAACTTGTTCAAAGCCCAAAAGGCTATGATTGAACAAGCTAACCGCTACAGGCGGCCTTCCCCCATCCGCACCGGTGACGATGTCTGGGTGGCCACCTCTGAGCTGTCGAGGGAGGAGGATATCTCTCCCAAGCTGTTGCCACGTTACCTGGGTCCATGGCAGGTCCTAGATACAGTGGGCGCTGATCCCTTCGGACCGTCGTATGTTATCGACGTCCCTCTGCATTTGCGCACCTACCCGGTTTCCATGCATCCAAGCTGCTGCCTTTCACCCCAGCTGATGCATTTCGACACCGGCCCCCTCAGTTTGGTCCGCCAATCCCTGGTAAGGGATATGACATTGACCGGATTGAGGATGAGTGGGGCACAGGCCCCGATCGGCAGTATCTTGTCAGGTTTGCTTTTCAACCTCCTTCTAAGAGCCGATGGTTCTACAGAAGAGATCTGATCAAGACAACAAAGTCCATTGTGTTGCGATTTGAAGCCGCTCAGAAGGGCAACCTTCCTCGCCGTTCACCTCGTTTGCGTCCCTAGCTCAGAGGTCCTCGCTCGCGGAGAGTGTAAGCCTGTAATGACTTGCTGATTTCGACTGCCGAGATTGACTGCGAGGTTGTACACTAATCGGTCGGTAGGGTTAGATTCGTAATTTTATTTGGCTGAGGGCTAACCGAGAGACCTGCCTGTAAGGGAATTCGTGAGGGACATATCTGCATATCTGGGAAAATACGGGCCCGGTACTAACCAGAATTCCTACAGCTACCCTAACTGCCTATAGCAGGCCCGGGCTACCCCTAGGACAGACAGGCCCTAAGCGGCCTATACTGCTAGACGGTCCTATAGCCTATAGTCGGGTCCGGTAGAGGCCGAGAGGCCGAAACAGCAACGGTACCGGTCGGTCAGTCAGTCCGGTCTAGGTCTAGAGAGTCTATAGATAGGTTAGGCCCATCGGTTCAGGACTTTTGGCAGTTCATTTCTCGCGAAACAGCGTTGGAGAACCCAAGCAAGTTGGTGGCGGTGATGGTCTGCAGGCGGCATCTTGAGACTCACCGTTGACAGCAGCCATAAGGCTCCACAGTGTGTATTCGTGGGTGGTGACAGCCATAGCTGCCTGTTCCCGTCAGAGTTGTCCATCGGCACTGAAGACTTCATCGCAGGACCTGTTCTTCATCAGGGTGGTTGGCGCTGGCCTCTGGGAGGCTGTTCTGATGTGGCGCTACTAACTGGGTGTAGGATAGAGAGTGGGGTGTGAGTTCTGAGAGTGGCGAGATACTGGAACAAACTTTGTTACGATAATTGTTTGAGTGGTTGATCAT